AAATATAACCCGTATAAGATGCATATATGTGCTTTAAATGATGTAAATGTATATATATATATATCATTTATATGTGTTATGATTAATACATAACATATGCTTTAAACAGCTTATTAAATTATTATTTGTGTTTACCTGGCCGTTAAAGAGTTTTCTCCAAGACAGCGAGCGATGGCGAAGTGCGAATTTGCAAATTGTTCAAACTTTGGAATTTCAACTGCTGGAATTACAGCGGCAGTCGCCGCTTCGTTTGGGGGGTGCTGCAATTAAAGAAGTTGAGAAAAAGAAGAAAGATAAGGAAGTCTTTTAATGCAATTCGCGTTGAATTCATAGCTTTGTTTTCATCTCAAAGCTAATTCATATTCGCTTTTTATTCGACCAATGCGTTTAATAATTAATTAATTAATTATTTAAAAAGTAATTCATATTAATACTTAGTTAATAAACAACTAATTAATTATTAAAATAAATTAAGTCGTATTTTGCTGGAGTTGTTTATTACTCGCAAGGAAGAAATATGCTAAAGTTTTTTATTTATTTTGGTTTGATTTACAGTTTATAATATTTAATTTTACTTTTAAAGTTTTTAACTACATATTACAGTATTGATTATATCTGCTCTGAACAAATGAATAATCGAGGAAGTCTCAGCAAACTGCTCCATCGTCTTTAGTTAAATACCACTGCTATTTCGTATTTATTGATCATTATTTATTTATTTATTTATTTATTTATTTTATTATTAATTTAATTACTACGCTTACAAGTTGAATCGACGAGAAAGCAACGCCGGCGCACTGCCAAGTGGTGAGACCGACAGAGCCAGAGACGATTTCTGCATTGAAAAAAGAAGAAAATCAAAATAAAATACAAACAAATAAGTGTATTATAAAGGGTATAATAAATATATATAAAACATATTAACTTATTAACATGCAAAGAAGCAGAAACGCCTATTCAATGATGTGTTAATACCGACAGAATAAACAGAATGAGAGGTCCGGCTACACAGCACAACAGGGTTAAGGAAGAGATTGAAGACATATAATAGAAATAAACAAATAAAATGAACAAAACAAATAAAATAAACAAAACAAATAAAATAAACAACACAAATAAAATAAACAAAACGAAAATAAACGCAGCAAATAAACTCAAAGGCGTAAAAGGAAAGAGATGAAGACATACAGGCCTCGAAACAAACAACAAAAAGAAGTCAGTGTGGCTGGAAATAAAAGAGTGAAATAAACAAAGCTAATAACAACAAAACCAAGCAAAGTAGAGGAAAAGAAAGCAAAGCGCGCGAAACAAACAAAGCGACAAAACACTAAACACGGCGAAGACAGCAGGATAATAAGAAGCACGCATGAACAAAACAAAGCAACAAATTAAACAAAAGCGAAATTAAATAAAGACTCACCATCAGATCTGCCTATGCTGAATACAGGCAAAGCAGTTGTGCTATTTCCAGCCTTCACAACGATATGAGAGGGGTTAAAAGATAATTTAACTTCATTCCAAGACCCCAGTTTAAAGCCCCATAGATTTGTTTTGCTTAAAATGCTGTACACTCCTTGAAATCTTTTTCTTATCCGAGCAAACGAAGGACTCATTTCAAACAACATGTAGTTTTCTCTGTCTCTGTAATTAAACGCAGCTCCAACTACTCCTGAAAACCAACAATATATACAATAATCATGTATTATTATTATTATTATTATTATTATTATTATTATTATTGTATTAGACAATACACACACGCAAACATACACTCAAACAGAAAAGAGCAGCGTGATCAGGTCTTTTGAATGCATTTAATGAATACACATCAATTATAATTTTTTTATTTAACTTAAAGCGACTGATTGAAGAAGGCGTAAAGAAGAAATAAATAAATTGTTTACCTTCGCACTGAGGAAAAAAATTAAATGCAAATTGGCCTTCATCGCACGAACGGTGTCGCGACAGCACAAGGATCGCCGGCTCCTTTGAAAGAAATAAAAATTAAATTCAATAAACAACAACAAAATAAATCAAACAAAATCTTTTTTTCATAAGAAAAATAGCACTTACATCCACTGCAACAACGGCAGTACAAAGAATACACATACCAACAACAGTAATAGTAATAATGAATAAACAGTACTAGTAATAATGAATAATAGTAATAAATAATAATAATAATAATAATAATAACAGCAAGATGTATTATTATTATAATTAATTTGGAGTTGATATCTGTGCTGTTATTTCAACTTACTTTGTTTTGTTCTCCGCCGACTCCTGCCTGAGAATCAGCGCATGCAAATTAAGGCAAGCAAATGAAGTAATGAGTTGAATGAATTAATAAAAAATAATTATTAAAAGCCCTTACTCACCACCTGAGCAATCGTCTTGTGCTCTCCGCCTACATCTGCTGCATATTTCCACATAGACGGCGACTCTGTCTCTGTCGGCTCCACCATACTCCACTCGTCTGAAATCTTCCCTACAAACTTTGAAGCATATTCATCACTAAGTGTAATATTGCATGCGTGCAGCAGCAGCAGCAGCAGCTAGTGCACCAGCAGCAGCAAGTGCAGCAGCAGCATATTCAGCAGAAGCACGTGCAGCAGCAGAAAATCCAACAGCACCAAATCCAGCAGCACCAAATCCAGCAGCAGCAAGTGCTCCAGAAGCACTTGCGGCAGCAGCAAGTTCAGCAGCAGCAAGTTGCAGCAGCAGCAAGTTGCAGCAGCAGCAAGGACAGCAGCAAATGAACTCACTGCTTCTCTGTAGTTGCTGCAGACTGAGGGATACGGCGGCAGCAGCAACTCTTTTGATTTGTCTCCCCCCGTACAAGGAAGGGGTTTGACGGTGGTCTTCTGAAAGCATGCGGAGTTTACACCGCTTGTGAAGAAGCCAATTGAACCCGAGTTGAAAGACCCGTCGATCAAGTCTATTTGCGCTGCTGCTGCTGCTCCTGCTGCTGCTGCTGCTGTTGCTGGGAGAAGAGCAGTAGCAGGACCAGCAGCAGCACCAACGCCTGCGTCTGTTACTTCCGCAACGACGATTGAAATACGTTTCATTTGCTTCGTGATGGTTATGTTGTATCGCTGTCCTTCTACAAAACCCCCATCGTCTATTCTGGCTGTCTCTGTAGGGGCCCCATTAACAATTCTCAGCAGTCGCTTGAATCCTCCATTTGTATGCTGTTTGTTTAAAGAGGGGAAATAAAGAAAGGAGATGTTATACACCGTTTGTCTGCATGCGTTTCTTACCTGGGTTATTTCAAAGAGAAACATATTCTTCTCGTCTTTGACGTTGAATGCAAACCCCATCGAACCCGCACCGGAAGCCACCGCCTCCGTCGTAAAAACAAAATCAAAGAAGTTTTTATCTCGTAAAAACGCATAGCTTCCGCTGGTGGCGCTGCTGGGGACAGAGGGAGAAACTGCAGAAGACTGACAGAGACGTAGACGGCCTTCTTTAGAATGAGGAGCGAGAGAAGTAGCAGAGGAAGCCGATGTCGGCTGTATATTCCACTTGCTGCTGCCTGTGGAGTTGGGGTGTATGTGCAGGTTTGTTGATTCAAATGTTGTTCATTCTTCATATGCGAAAAAAAGAGCAAAAGATATTCACCTATTGATAATTTCGAATCCACAACTTTAAAATTTTCGGTTATTTCCCCAGCGTTTAAGGAATCTAAGCCCCAGGGATCTGCTTCAGATTGCGCTGCTCTTTCTTTTATTGTCTGTACAGTTGAATATGACTCCTTTGATTGATTTATTTATTTCGAGTGCACGGCCTCTCACCTTTTGTACTTCTTCTGAAGCCATCTCCAGAGCCTGAGACAGCTTTGCAGAACAAACTTTTATATGCGCCGCCAGGGCGTCGCCTTGTCGTTTCGTTTCCTTTGTCTCGTTCTGCATTTGAATGAGTACAACGTGCATCGTTAATTGAAGGTAATTAGGTGCATGTACACCTCAACACTCTGCTATCCGTCTCACCTCCAACCTCATTTCTATGCGCTCTGCTGGCTTAAGGATAGCGCGGGCTCCGGAGACAGCCTGCAGGTTTTCTCGGAGTTGAACGAAGTGTTTGTTTGTTTAATTAAGTGTTGCTTGAGGGTAAAGAAAAGGCATGCATTCGCTTAGTTAAATACTTGTTGCTTCACCTGTGTGGCTGTAAGGCGGAGATGCTCCACTACTTCTGCGTCGAAGCCCCCTAGCCGTTGCCATATAATGAGAGATAATTGATTTATTGCAATTGTTGTTGCTTCGTTCAACTCCTCCACAGCTGGCGAACCCCCAGAAAGAGGCGAATGGCCTCCCCCAGCACCAGCTGCTGCAGGTGCTGCTGCTGCCGCTGGTGTTGCAGGGACCGCTGCAGCAGAACCTGCTGGTGCTGCTGGTGGTGTTGCTGCTGCCGGTGTTGCTAGTGGCGCTGGTGCTGCTGCTGGAGCTGCTGAAGCAAACTGTGGGGAGAGCAGTGCTGTATTTCTCGCTTTATTGTCGGAATAAGGAGTTAGGGTGGCCTCGGGAATGAACAATGGTTGTTCAAAGGAATCCATTTCAAGAAAGCTGCTGGTGCTGGTGCTGTTGGTGTTGCTGCTGCTGCTGCTGATGCTATTGGTGTTACTGCTGCTGCTGTTGTTGTTGCCGATGCTGTTGGTGGTGTTGCTGTTGCCGCTGCTGGTGCTGTTGGTGCCGCTGCTGCTGGTGCTGCTGCTGTTGGCGCTGCTGCTGGCGCTGTTGGTGCCGCTGCTGCTGGTAGTGCTGCTGCTGGTGCTGTTGATGGTGCTGCTGCTGCTGCTGTTGATGTTGCTGCTGATGCTGCTTGTGCTGATGCTGTTGGTGGTGGTGATGCTGCTGCTGCTGCTGTTTGTTGCAGCAGATGCATCGACAGGGCATTTCCTCGCTGCTGGCTGTACAATGAAGGCTTTTTCTTTTTTGTTGGATATTAAGCGGCTGGCTGATTGAATTCCGTTTTTATCGCTGCCTTCAAACTCTGAAGGAGTTGAAACAATTTGAACAGACGCTTCGCCTCCTCTAGTGAGGAGCCCCGAGTGAATTGCAGCAATGCATATGGCACTGTCTGCAGCGTATACCCCTGTCTCTCCTCCGACGAGTTTAGCTGCCTCTACTGTTTTATTTAGAGGGAAAGGAGATGCATTTGGAGCGCTTTAAGACCGAAAATAAACAAGCAAGGAGCTGTATTGCCACCTTACCGTTGTGCATGCAGCCCTCAGGACAACGAACGAAAAAACTGCTGCCTGGGGGTCCATCAAAAGACGCATTTCCCTCCACTGATGTGGTGCAGGTTATATCGAGAGGCACTTGGGGAGGGTTCCACGCATCTTCGTTAGTTGAACCTGAAATGTTTTCCTATTAAACCCTTTCTATTGCATATGCATGTGCATATTTGTTTGTCTGTTTGCTTGCTTGCTTGCTTGCTTGCAACAAAAAGAAACGAGACGTACATATTAAAGTAGACATATCCGTAGCAGAGGAATCGAAGAAGATTAAACCCGTAGGCGATAAACCGACGGTGTTGGAAATAAAACCCCCATTCTTTTGTGCATCCACAATAAACTCGGTAACCTAAGAAATGCATTTCATTAAAACGTGCAGACAAATATATATATATATATATATTTAAATATATCATCAAATCCAGTCTTATCATCGTTGTTATGACATGAAATGTTTATTATGTTTGCATTCGTAATGATATTTATAATTAAACTTTCATTAATAAATATGAATCCCACTACCACAGTATTAATCTTAACAGTTTAACTCGCTGAACTTACGTCTTTCTTGAAGTCAAGTGAGTAGAAGACATTCGCCCCGTTGTTAATTGCAACTGGAACTGGATTAGTTAAATCCATTTCCATTAACTCTAACATTTGCTGCAAGCTGCTGATTTGTCTGCGGCTGTGGAGATGAAGAGGCTCTAGGCCTAGCTCTGTGTTTAATCCCCATATGAGTCAACATTAAATAATTATTATTATTCATTGCTTTCTAACAGAAACAATTTACAGTAAAAATAATACTATTCAACTTACTGCTGCACGCTGAAACTGCATCGCGAACAGAGATAATGCCGTCGGTGTCGGCGATTGTAGCGAAGGTCGCCCCCGAAGAAATGTCGCAATAAACTCTTAAAGGCTTTGCAACGCACATAGGAATAACCCAATAAAAGCCTGATGTTGCTCTGCTGTATTTACTCTTCAAATCATAACAGTCTTTTATAGCAGTCTCTGGAGAGAGGCCAGGGATGCTGCTGATGGTTGCTGTTCCGTGGATTGCCTGCAACTCCTCCTCTGAACAAAACAATTCAATAAATAAGTTAATAATTAGAATAACAATAAGAACAATGAAAATGCTATTAATCGCTAAGTGAGATCACCAAGGCGCGCCAAAGAATTCATCAAATCCACAACTTGTGCATTAAAAGCCGTATTCCTTTCGCTTGTTGCTTGCTTTTCAGAGACGCATCTTTTTGCATTTTGAGTAATCTCTTCAACTGCTGATAGTCTTGCAGCCATAGAAATACTTGCATTTGCTGCTAGCTGTCCTGCCTGCTGCAGCTGAAGCCCCGCTGATATATCAACTTCAGACACCAACTCTAAAAAGTATTTATCGCGAGCATCTGCTGATGTCTTCGCCTTCGTGCATGGCTCTACAATCGAACGCAGCCGATTGCTGTACACGGAGAAGGTCTTAATTCCGTATACAAATTTGTCTTTTAAAATCCTGCATACAAACAAGTCAAAATCAACCAACAGAGATATAGGGTAATAGAATTAAATGCACAACGAGCTGTAAATAATAAATTAATTAATTAAATTAAATTAAATTATATTAACTGTAAATATTAAGTTTATTAATAAGTTTTAATCTAAATAAATATATCAGGTGTAAAGGAGAAGCACTTTATAATGAGGTATGTCGTAGGGGGGTTGATGTAGGGTTGAAATTTGTATGATATCCACAGTATGATAGATGATATTATTTTATACAGTAAATACTATAGTAAACAATATAGCAAACGCCATAGCAAATAATATATAAAGCGAATTAACAAACGATATAACGAGCGATATAAGAAATTATATATCAAACGATTTAGCTAACGACACAACAAACGATACACTGGACAGTATATAATATATATAACAGACGATAAAACGCTTGAAATAACCAGCGATATAACAAAGGATATAACGTATGATAATATAATAAGCAAACTAGCAAGAGACAGCTAGTGAAATAACAAATAATACGACAGACAATGCAGCAAACACCACAGCCAATAGGAGAACAAACAAAGCAGCAAAAGAAACATCAAAGAGTTTGACTAGCTAGCTGCATGCATCTTCAACATAATTATCGTTTGCTGCCTCACCCCAGAGTTGGATGTGGCCTCTCGAGACGAAGACGCACGTAGCGAGCGATGGTGGCTTTAAGATCATCAACTGTGGTGTACATACAGTTGACGTTGTTGCGCGCTATTTCTTTGAAGTTGGCGCCATCAGTACTTGTTAGAATTGCGTAGCTGAGAGCCGGAAACTCCCAGTCGATATCTGCAGCCCTCAACTTGTATTTATCGCCTAAGTCCAAATCAAACAACACAAATTCAGGAACTGCGTCGCGTGAAAATTCTTCAGAAGCCCAGAACGTATCGGCTTTCCCGTCTACAGCTGCACCCGGCGAGTGGTTGCTGCCACTGCTGCTGCTGCTGTCGCTGCTGCTGCTGCTGCTGCTGCTGCTGCTGCTGCTGCTGTTGCTGGTGCTGTGGGCTTCGGAGTTTCTAGCCACGTCGCTGCTCCCTGCTTTGCTTCCCATTTGTGACAAGCAGTAGTTTCCCCCTCGTAGGATCTTCAGCTGGTTGTTCGGCTGCAGCTCCCTGAAAGCAGCCAGCAACAACGGCAGCAGCAGCAACAGCAGCAGCAGCAGCAGCAGGATGAAAATGAGAGGCGTTTGCTGCACGTGTTGTTCGTGGATTCCCTACCAAACAGTTCTCCCGTCTTGAAAGTTGAATTCATTTTCGCAGTTTGCTGCTACGACTTGGCCTCCGCCTTGTACGACATTATCTTTTAAAACTGCACATACACCCAACACTGGGTTCTTCAGTTGTCCTGTGGTGTATGATTGCAATTCATTAAAGTTTATTGAGGTCTTTTGTTCATAAAGAGGTTATATAAATGCAACAAATACCTCTCTCCGTAAACTGCCAAAGGGCTCGTTCATCTGCTGCAGCAGCAGACATCAGACAGCCGTCTAAGACGATGTCGCCTTCTTCATCGCTTTGCAAACAAAGATCCTGTAAACGCAGTTATAATATTCAAGCAGAAAACCCGAATGCAACAGCAGTAGCAGTGGCATTACTTGCAGCGGCAGTAGGAGCATTGCTTGCAGCAGCAGCAGCAACAACAGCAGCAGAAGAAACAATCATTGTAGCAGCGCAGCAGAAACAGCAGCAGCAGCAGGAGAAGACACATCGCCTACAGCAGCAGAAACAACACCAGCTGGAACAACAGAAGAATCATCTCTTACAGCAGCAGCGGCAGCAGCAAGAACATCAGCAGCAGCAATAACAGCAGCAGCAGCAACAACAACAACAGCAGCAGCAGTAGCAATATCATCAGCAACAGCAATAACGGCAACAGCAGCAATAACAGCAGCAGCAGCAGCAACAACAGCAGCAGCAGCAATATCAGCAGCAGCAGCAGCAGCAGCAGCAGCAGCACACTTGCCTGGTGTGGACTTGTGATTCCGCTTTGAATACGAATAATAGGAAACCCCCCACCGAGAAGCTGCAGCAAACTAATGCCAAAGTATTGGCTTTGCGGGTCTTTCATCAATATGCGGATGCCCTTCAAATTAACAGCGCGGCCGAAGGTCAGCACTTGGTGAAATTGAGCTGAAGCAAAATCAATTAAGTATAATAATAATAATTATTATTATTATTATTGCTATTAGGAATATTATTTTTATTAATAATTACGTATATTGTTAGTAAGAATAATTTTACTGTTAGTATTATCAGTTGGACTTCATTAGATGCACTTTGCAATTTATTATTTTGTGTTTCAACGCTGTGCATTTCTTTCGTCTGCACTTTGCATGCGCCAACTGTCTTTGATTACTCCCAACTTTAATGCACAAAAACAAGCAGTAATATATTATATAGATTATAACAACCCTCGAAGCATTAGGCGAATAGCAAACAGAGCATAACAAGAGCATAACAAGCAGTAATTAATATATTATAGAAATTAATAATTATAGAAATAGCGGCAATATCAAACAAAGCATAACAAGCACAAATTAGTAGCAATATTGTTCTTAAGAATAACGGCAATGTTAAACAATGCATAATAATAACTCACGCCCCGCAGCGTTGACATCTTGAAACGGTATTATTTCCTGAAATGGATCTGACCCATCAAAGCTTGCGGCGACAGCAACTGAGAAGAGGAAACAATTCAAAAAAATAGAAGTGGAAAATTTGTTTCTTTTTGTAGCTTTTCACCTTTTCCAGGAGCGTATGCCCAGTTAATTTCAACACCTTCAACAGATCGCCGCGTTTTAAGCCGCCCAGTCCAGGTGATTATATCTTCTTTTCGATGATTTCCTTCAGAACACCAATACCCCGACCCTCTACTTAACGCTTTGTCAGGGGAAAACTCGCGGAGGCCCGCATGGCTCACGCTGGGGAAGAAAGAATTCGCTTCTGCAGAGTCAATCTTAATATACGTGTTCACCACCATCTGATCTGCAACAGCAGGCAGCGGCACTTCGGGGGAAAAGGGCAGCGAAATGAAGGCCGCTAAGGGAAGAAAGGTCAGCCATTGTACGTTAACAAACATAATTCGAATATTTAGATCATAAAAACCGAAGAAAGCTGGGCGGAAACAACACAAAAAACGCACACAAACTCCGGCAGTTTCAATTTGAACTTTGAGGTGTATGTACACCTGAAAAACAAACCAACTACGTTTCCTATACATGCAAGAGCGGCATTTGTGTCTTTAAAATTCATTTTAAAGGTAAAATTACCTCTTTTTGCTTATTCCAAAAGAACAAGTACAGTGGGATAATTGAACTGTTCACATTGTGCTGTTAAGCGACACTTGATCGTTTCGTAGCAACGGGAGAAGACGAAGCGTTTTTCCTACCTCTCCTCTGTTGCCTCTAAGGAACAATTATCAATATTCCTTGGATTTCCAGAGTATAAAAGAATCTCGTCTGCTTCTCTGTCACTTAGGCAATGTCGAATTGAACGCAGGAAGTGCACTTAAGAGCCGCATGCAGATGCAATGTATTCAGTGACTGCGTTCAAAACATTTCGAGTTGTACAGCATTTCTTTGGAGATATACAATCCCCAGCTAAGCTGCCTTCATCTTGCAGCATTTCCTGCCTATGGTGTAGTATACAGACAGCGGAAGCGTCTCAGTAGCAACTCTTATTTTTGTTTTTTCAGTCGACTTTATGTTACTTTGTTGTCTGTCCTTCATCTGTTTGGCATTTCGCTAGGACATGAACAAATGCCTGTGCAGCGCAGTAGTCATGTGCTAACGGTACTTAACTTTGGCGTTCTCAGTTTGGAATTGATACCCCCAAACCCTAAACCCTAAACCCGAAGCCCTCATTAGCCTTCGTTGTCTCTTTCTTTTTATTTCATTCGCATGCGGGCGGTATAAGGACCCCTCTGTAATTTCTGCGTTAGTGCTTTCTGTCTCTGTTTAATCTGCATCATTTTCCTTATCTCTACTAATAACGCTTAAAACGTAAACACCAGCACTGTAAACCCTAAACCCTAAACCCTTTACAATTAGCGATCCCTTCTCATTGCACTTCAAGTGTCTTTGTTCATGCTTCGTTGCAAACCAACCAAAGATCAGTTGGACCCCTACTTCTACTGCACTTCTTTCAGCGAGAATTTAAGGGTTTAGGGTTTAAGGAGTTCACAAAGTAAATGCGATACGGTGTGGTAGCAGCTAATAGAAAAAATGGGTTATTTGGTTCGATTTGGGGGTTTAAGTTTATATATTGAATTTGTTATATACATATATATAATTAAAACCATGTTTTTATCAACTAAAGCCAAAACAAACCCTAAAAGACAAATGCTAAAAATAATAGCAGGAGGCCTCTTTAGCCCCCGATCCCCTCAACACTTCCTTGAAGCGGAACTCTCTGGAAGCATAAATATTATATTTGATAGTATTACTTTAAATATTAACATTATATTTTTATAGTATAAACTATACATACATATTTCTATAGTATGAACGATAAATATTATTTTTCTATAGTATGAACTGGAAAGGTTATTTTTGTACAAGGGGACCTGTACGCATAGTATTTGTCTAATAGGTAGAATATTTATGTTAAATAGAAAACAATGTCTATATTCAGAACCTATATATATACATATATATGTATATATATTAAGGGGCAGTGCTTGACATGCATCCCTTTCATATTGAAGATGCAAATGCAATGAAATGTTTTACTGTGCAGAAGGGGAGTACAACAGCAGCAACAAACGGCGAAGACAGCAAACAACAAAACCAGCAAACGGCAAAAACAACAACAAGCAACAAACAACACGGGAAAAACAGCAAGAATGCAACTGCGTTGCAGTTTAGGTTTTACTATGCATATTGATTGCACACAAGCATGCAAAAAGCTGTACTCACACCCCAACAACACGAGACAGAGTATTATTAAACTAAATAAACAAGCATATTCATGCTTTATGAAATGATTTTCATTTATTTCTTCACTTAATAACAACGCAGACGCCTGCGAATCTTAAAAAGCCCCAAAAGTAGTGCATGCAACTAGACCTGCTATTTTCTTATCCGTTGACGTTCCTGTTGTTGAAGTTGCTCTTTCATTGGATTCTTTTTATAAATTAAATTTATAAAAGGACTAAAAATTCATTTTTAACAGACCTAAAGGCCCTTGCCTTCTCATTCTTCTTCGCTGCTGCGTGCAGCGGCAGCCACCAGCAAAGGGGGAGGCGGCTGCGTTTCATTCTGGTGGGTTTTTTGTGTGAAGTTTGGTTTTTTAGAAAGAAAATAAAAATATTAAGTATATTTTCAGCAATAAAGCAAATTCAGCGTTTTGTTCTGGGTAGGGACGACGAAATTCCTCAACACAGAGGGCAGCGGCGGCGTGTTAGGTTTCTGATTGCATTTTTTTTCAGGTTATTCAGCAGTAATTCAACAAATTTTTCATAATGGGGGACGACGAAGACTTTTATTTGCGTTATTAGTGAGTGTTTCTTCGCTTATATTGCGGTTGAATATTCGAGCTTCAGGTGTATGTACACCTGAATGAGAAATAAGTGATTGCCATTGCCGGAGTTGTTTTGTCCTTGAGGGAAACAGAAATATCTTTGAATATTTTCTCCTTTCTTGTTCAGTTAAACTCTTTTTGTTGATGTTTGCCGGTTTCAAGTGCATTATTGCATGCGTTTGCGTTGTATTTCTCCGCGGTTTCCCTCTATTTTCTTCTCCGTTCAGCACCGGCCACAAGGGGAAATTCGGTCATGAGTTTCTTGAATTTGAATTTCTCGCCGAAGGAAGAATGCGTTATGCAAATAATTCCAATTATAAAAATGACACAATGATTAGAAAAGAAGGTCAGTGAAACATTAAAAGCGAAGTGCATTTAAAAGATCTGTATGGAAGCAATAAGCAGATATTTTCTCTTTGATGATGTTGGTTTCATGCTTAGTAAGCACTATAATAATAGTATAATAACAGTGCTTTATGTATAAATAATAGATTAGGATATTGAGTCTATAGATAATGTGTCTATTTAACAATGCTGCATATAGTATACTCATTTACTCGTTTCATAAATAATACCTTAATATTCTTTTGTTAGAATCAGTTGAAAAATATACTTTTTGCTATAAATGATTGACCAGTGTAGGAAGGAGTACCATAGAGTTTCCCTTCCTTAACTTCGTGCTGTTAAGGACTTCTTTTGCTGCTTTCTTTGTTTCATTTGTTTAGTGTGATGTTTTTTTGTTGGTTTTGTTTGCAGCGTACGTCAGCCAGGCGGTCATAAAGGAGTTGAGAAGAATAATAGAAGAGGCAGAAATATTGAAGTGGGTTTTTTTCTGTATTTGTTGCTGCTCCTTCTGTGTTGCCTTTCAATCATTTTGCGGTGTATAGGCACCTTGTGTTTGTTTATCACTCGTACAGTGTATTAGCTGAATAAATATATCTTATAAACAACAACAACAAGGGGTTGTTATCTAAACATGCAACCGTATGAAATAAATAACTTAAATATTATCGCTGTTAATGGTTTATTACTTAAATGTATCTATTAATCTTCACTACATCAACAACAAAAAAGAATGATTGTTTATTAGTATTGTTATTAATCGTTGTTATTTCTATTATCTCTTGTTCCAGTATTTTATTTATCATTGATCATTATTATTATCATTGTTTAATCATTACTATCGGTAGTAATTTTAATTTTTATTTATCAATAGTACTGTTAATCATCAATACTATTATTATTATCATTAACACTATTATTATCATTAACACTCTTACTAATCATTTTAATTAATTATTATTATTGCGTTATTATTGTAAACCATCATTATTTCATTACTATTATTAATATTACTAATCACTATTATTATTATTATTATTATTATATTATTAATTGTAAATGCATTATTATTACTTATTTTTATTTTTTATTCAGAGAAGACGATAACAATTGGCCGGCACCTGATCGCGTAGGGCGTCAAGAACTTGAAATTATTTTAGGAAAAGATCATATCTCTTTTACTGTGAGTTCTTTGTCTATTTATTTTTATTATTTTGTTTATTTAGTTTTATTTGTTTTATTTATTTTTTTTATCATCTAGAGAATATATCTCTTTTACTGTGAGTATTTTGTTTACTTATATTTATTTTTGTATTTGTTTGTTCTGCTGTATTTGTTTTGTTTATTTTGTTATTGTATAGAGATCATATATCTTTACTGTGAGTATTTTGTTTACTTTAATTATTTATTTTATTTTAATTATTTCGTTTGTTTTATTTACTCTATTTTACATGTTTTGTTTATTTTATTTTAGTTGGTTATTCATCTTTTTTTTTGCTGTGAGAAAGACAAGATCATATCTCCTTCATTGTGAATAAAATAATATATAATATATTTAAATCCTTTCATTTCTTTGATTATTTATTTAAATAAATTATTTAAACTCTTTATTTGTTTGATTTATTTGCAGACTTCTAAGATCGGTTCTATGGCAGATGTTCAGCGCTGCAAAGATGAAAAGGGTTTGAGAGTTTTTTATTATCTCGTTCAAGACTTGAAATGTTTTGTTTATTCTCTAATAGGGCTTCACTTTAGGGTATTTCTCTTTTTTCTTGCTGTTTGTCTCCTTTAAGTGCTTTGTTTTGTTTATTTACTTTTATATTTATTTATATTCACTTGTTTATTTGCTTGTCTTTCTTCGTTTATTTGCTTGTCTATTTGTTTGTTTATTTGTTTATTCGTTTGTCTTTCTTTGTCTGATTTTTTCTTTATTTTTATCTGTGGATTGCGTCCCCCTCAGTTTTGCTTATTTGAGTCTTTGTTTGTGTTTTCTTTGTCTTGTTTCTCGCTTTGTTGTTTTCACTGTTTGTTTTATTTGTTTTATTTGTTTTGTCTCTCTCTTTGTTGTTTTCATTGTTTGTTTTATTTACTTGTTTTATTTGTTTTCGTTTATTTTATTTCTTTTTCATATATTTCACATCCCACCCGCACATTATTTGGTGTTGTGTTTTATTTGAGTGTATATTGCAGTTTTAATTTTGATTTTAAATTTAAAATTAAATTTTAAATTAAATGTAAAAGTTTGAATTTTGAATTTAATTTTGCGTTTCTTGCCTCTCTATTTTATCTTCGTTCGTTGGTTTACTTTGTTCTGTTGCGTTTTGCTGTTTTGTCTTTCTTCAGATTAAACCCGTCTAAACAAACAAACAAAAAAAATTAAGTGCGGCACGTGGGATGTTAAGCCGTTCAAATGAGGGTTTCACTTCCAACTAGGGTTTAGGGTTTAGGGTTTAGGGTTTAGAGCCTTCATATTCAACTCCCCTTCCTCCCCCCAGCCCAACGTTGATCTTCGTTTTTCTTTGCTAATCAGCATCGGAAACCTTCTTAAAGGGTTTGTTTGCGCTCGAGGGTTTAGGGTTTAGGGTTTAGGGTTTACGGTTATAGGCGTACGGCTGGGTTTAGGGTTTAGGGTTTGCATCGAATGCCTATCGCTGCAGAAGACAGCAAATAGAGTACCAGACCTTTAGGGTTTAGAGTTTAGGGTTTAGTTTAGAGTTTAGGGTTTAGTTGCTGTAAATAAATGCAATAGCTGAGACGACTTACTTCTGTTTTAACTAATTATCATTATTTATATTTAATAATTATTTATACATATTTTTTATTTTTATTTCATATAAATAAAATATATTACTGCTACATCATTAATTAAGCTGTGCTGCTGCAGACTGTCAGCAGCAGCAAAAGTCGTAAGAAGACGATTTGAAGAGGAAATATATTTAAATGAATGCAGTAGTTAATTTAATTACAGCTGTTTTTTATACAAACAGAATATATACACATATATATATATATATACACGTATATGTACATAAAATATTTATTATATATAATGCATATATATATATATATATATATATATATATTGCATCATTCAGAATTGTGTTTTAATTTGACCGTCGTTATGTTGCCGTACATCTCAACAAAAACGAAAAAAGTAATAAAATAAATTATGCAGGAAAAGTTCATGCAGAAATTGATATGCACCGCCAACAGCACAATCTAAAATATATATATATATATATATATATATAT